TGGTGATGCATAACATCATGCATTTGTTAAAACACAGACCAACACAAAAGAAGTAATAAGTACTGTAGGTCCTAGTAATAGTAATGTATCAGTATGGGTTCGTAAGTTATAACAGATACACTCCACTGATACAAGATATTAAAAATATAGGACATTATGTTGGCACAAGGGGGAGTGAGGATATACGGGAACTCTGTACTGTCTCCTCAATTTTTCTATGAACCTAAAAATGCTCTAAGTAATATGTATTTCTTTGTAAAAAGTAAATGGTATTGGGGTTGGGGTTGTGGCTCAGTGGTAGAGCACTTGCCTAGCATGTGTGAGGCACTGGGTTTGATTCTCAGCATATATATATATATATATATATATATATGTGTGTGTGTGTGTGTGTGTGTGTGTGTGTGTGTGTGTGTATTTAAGTAAATGGTGTTTTGGCAAAACTATGCTATGTGTCTTCCTGGGAGAAGCACATTTCCCAGCCCTCTGAGGACATGGACTGTGTAGGAAGCAATGAAAGCCATTTCCAGGCCTGGCCCTTCAAAGCATCTTATGCCAAACTCCAGTCTGTTCTCCCTTATTCCAGATACAAGACCAAAGAGGGCTGCCCAACTCACACTGCACTCCTCATGAATAAAGGGGAAACCAAACTAAACAGAACTGTTGAATTGGGTTGGCAGCCGCTGCTGCAGCTCCTCTAGTTCCAGGCGTCAGCCAGTGGTCAAGCACCCAGGAAACACCTGGCTACAAAAGCCACTCACAAGAGTGCGCCCTCTACTGGAAGGGGGAAGAAACCTCATCTTACAGGCCTGGTACTGAGGCACTCCGTGAGATCAGAGGTTACCTGAAGCCCACTGAACTTCTGATTTTCTGATTTGCAAACCCCCTGGAAGGCGCCTGGTGCAAGAAATTGCTCAGGACTTCAAAGCAGATCTGTGCTTCCAGAACCCAGGTGCTTTGCAGAAGGCAAATGGGACCCATCTGGTTGACCTTTGTTTGTTTGTTTGTTTTGTTTTTGTTTTTTTGTTTTGGTGGTGCTGGGAATTGAACCCAGGGACTTGCAAGGCAAACACTCTACCAACTGAGCTATATCCCGAATCCCTGGTTGGCCTTTTGAAGGCACCAACCTGTGGGCTATCCATGACAAATGGGTAGCAATTATGCCAAATGATGTCCAACTACTATGCCGCATAGGTGATTGAGAATTCACTATGATGGGAAGCATTTTATTCTCAAAAAAAATTTTTTTTTCTCTTCTTCCTGTTCTTGGTAGTTCTGAACATTAGATTTTTTTTTCCCAATGGAGTCAAAAGAAATCTAAGTATATGATTGTGAGTGGAAAAATAGGGGGTAAAAAACAGGTATTGGCAGTTTTTCCACTTTCATTTGTGTGTGAATTTTCAATATAAATGCAGGGATGTAAAACATTAATGCAAGTCAAAATGTTACAATGAAGAAGTTTCAGCAGTTCAACTTTATAACAATTATAAATAAAACTGTTAGATTTTTCTGGACAATGTCAGCATTTGAATTTTTTAAACAAGTAAATTTCTTTTTTTAATATTTATTTTTAGTTACAAATGGACACAATATCTTTATTAAGTAAATTTCTTATTGACGAGGTGGGGGGAGAAAAAAAACAGAAGTGTTATTGTCTTAAGTCACTGAGATGTTGAGGTTTTATTTGTTATTGCAGCACAGCATAACATAGCCTGACCAAAGGACTTCTAACAAAAAGAAACAATAAAAATAGCAGTTCCCCTATTGTCTTAGTTTTCTTTTACTATAACAGAACATGTGATCTGGGCTTGCTGTCCCAGCCACTTGGAAGGCTAAGGCAGGAGGATCACTTGAGCCCAGGAGTTTGAGGTCAGCCTGGGCAACATAGCAAGACCTGTCTCAAACCAACAAACAAAATACTTGAGAATGAGTAACTTTAAAAAAACAAAAGTGTATTTGGTTCAGGGGAGTCCAAGAGTGTGGTGCCAACATATGCTCAGCATCTGGTACGGGCCTTCTTGCAACCTCACACTGCCAGGCAGGCTGTCACAGGGTGAGGGACAAGGCACACCAGCTCCAGTCCCTCTCCCCATCTTCCTCCTCCTCAGTACATGTCACCAATTCTTTCCATACTATACACCTACACTGGACATTTGTCATTCTTCCTGGTAGACAGATTCTAAGTCTTTCCTGTATTTGGGAGTCCCCCTTAGGAGACGCGTGGCAAGCAGTGTCCCCAATGTACAAACCGAAGATTCAAGATGCTCATATTTTTAGCATCTTGCATCCAGGGTGCGTGGCTTGGGCCCCACCCATCAGATGTATCCATTCCAGACTTGGAACTGACAACTAAGGTCGGAGGAGGTAGGGAATGCCCAGATTGTCTCCAGGAGAAGTTGAACTGAGAAAGCTGTGCAGTCATAGGAATGCCTGAGGCCCAAGGGACCTGTCATTCTGTGGGTTGCAGTGTCTGGCTCATGGCAGCAATCACATCATCCACACCTTACCAGTTTACAGCCAGGTTGGAGATGTTTCCAGTTGGGTAGCCATGAACAAAGTTCTCTGATCCTCTTGGGATTGTAATGGGCCACCTAATATTCATTTCATAAATTCCCTTTGCCTTAAGTAACTAGAGTCGTCGTCTGTAGATAAAATCAGCTGTCATTTTGATTTCGCACATGGTTACATGCAGCACTGACTTCCTGGGGCTGCGACCTGTGCAGTCTTGCAGGGTCTCTGCTGTAGAAGAGCCCCCACTTGCTTTGATGTTCTGCTTTCATCATCCTGAAATTCTTTGGGGGGTAGACAGACACTGGGGATTGGACCTGGGGGGCTCTACCACTGAGCTACACCCCCAGCCCTTTTATTACCCTTTTTAAAGAGAAATAAAATTGAAGACCTTTCAAGGAGCTTAAGTAGAGGAATGACATTATTCAAGTTGTCTTTTTAAAAAGTCACTGTGGCTGCCCCATGGGACTTGGAATTAGAGATCAAAAATAGACATGGGAGCTGGGCACAGTGGCACACACCTGCAATCCCAGCAGCTCAGGAGGCTGAGGCAGGAAGATTGCAAGTTCAAAGCCACCCTCCGCAAAAATGAGACACCAAGCAACTCAGGGAGACTCTGTCTCTAAATAAAATACAAAATAGGGTTGGGGATGTGACTCAGTGGCTGAGTGCCCTTGAGTTCAATCCCCAGTATCCAGAAAAAAAAAGAAAAAAAGTAGACATGGGGGCTGGGGCGTAGCTCAGTGTAGAGCACTTGCTTAGCCTGTCTGAGGCCCCAGACCCCCCCCCCCCCCCCCCCCCCCCCCAAAAAAAAAAAGAAAGAAAAGAAAAGAAATATAAGTAGGTAGAAAAGAGAAGACCCAATAGTCACCTTCAGCAATAGCCAGGGATGGTGGTTGAGACCAGGAGAGGACCAGTGCAGATGGAGAGAGGCTCACACTTCATAGTTGACAAGACATCTGCACTCAGCCCTTGCCTGGATCCTGGCTACGAACAGGGTGTGGGTTCATGTACCTCTTTCAGTGAGGAGCTTTGTTATGGTTTGGATGTGAGGCATCCCCCAAAAGCTCACGTGTGAGACAATGCAAGAAGGCTCAGAGGTGAAGTGATTGGGTCATGAGAGCCCTAACCCAAGCAGTGAATTGCTTAGCACCTCTCTTGCTGAGGCTGGCTTTGAACTCTCGATCCTCTTGCCTCAGCCTCCCAATTCTAATTGTTCTTGTCTGGTCTTTTGGTCACAGCAGTGAAAAAGCTGACTGAGGCAATCTTCCTTCAAATACCAAGTCCAGTTTGCTGGGAGCGCTGGACCTCACTTCCTGGTCCTCCTCTACCCCTTCCTTGCCACAAGCTATGGCTTATGCTCTTCTCTTTGCTAGAAAACCCTCCCTGGCCTCTTCCGTGTGGTTGTTTCTACTCTCACCTCACAGTCAGCTCAGGATTTTGGCCTCCATGAAACCTGGAACCTTCCTTGCTTCACTGGCTGGATGCTCCCAGTTCACCTGCTTTGTGGGGAAAACTCTGCTTCCGGCTCTGCCTTGTTTTACTGTTCTGTGACTGTTTGTTATGCCTGTCTCCCCCAACTAGTCCATGAGTCTTCAAGGTCAAGGACCTGGTCCATCATTTTTGCCTCCTGGCCTTGCCCACCGTGTCTGGCACATAGCAGCTGCTCAGTTAAAGACTGATGGCCCCGGTTGTACCACCACATCCTCCCATCCTCACTGTGAGCTAGAAGAGCTGGCTTGTCTGTGTCAGCCCTCGCCCTGGGTGTTGTCAGCCACCAGCACGTCACAGCAGGCAATCTCCTCACAGGGAAAGGCCTTGGGAGTTCCCTCTGGTCAGCGCTGAGACTCAGCTAGCCAGGGAAAGGATCCTGAAGTTCTCTCCAAATAAGGTGAAAGGATCAGCTGCTGTTGAAACAGCATGGGAGCCGTTAGTAAGGAAATATTCTCTCTGAGATGGATCCTCCTGAAAGAGACAACGGGATGCTTCCAGCTATGAGCTACTGACTGGAATGAAGCCTACTCCTTCCTGAGACAGCAGCCTCCCTCCCAGCTGAGGATCCAGGGGGGCCAGGCGCACCGAGATCTGGCGTGTAACACGTGTCAGAATGCAGCCCACCTGGGATCTGGAGGGCAGGCCACTCATGCCAGCAGCAGATCCTTGGGAGGCCGAGGCAGGAGGATCACAAGTTCAAGGCTAGCCTGGGCAACTTAGAGAGACCCTGTCTCAAAGTAAAAATAAAATAAAATAATAAGGGCTGGGGATGTATCTCAGAGGTAAAAACAGCCTGGGTTCAATCCCCAGTACTGCAAAGAAAAAACTAGTAATGTCACAAGTGTGGAATTTAGGCTTTGTGAATAGTGCCAAGACGATGTGGAGAATCGTCTCCATAAGCCAGGTATTGTTAGAAAAGCATTTGTTCGACCTTTTATCAAGAGTACTTGTACAAAATATATTAGTCACCTATTGCTTTGTAACAAATATCCTCAAACAAGGCAGCTTAAAACAACATTTATTTATCTAACAGTTTCTGTGGATTAGGACATTGGGGGTGGTTCATTTGTGATTCTGGCTCAGTTATGAGGTTGCAGTTAAGTTGTGGGCTGAGGCTATGGTCATCTGAAGGCTTGAGCAGGTGGAGGACCTGTTTCCTTGATGGTGCACTCATGTGGCTGTTGGCAGGAGGCCTCAGTTCCTTATAACATCACTCCTCCATGGAGCTGCTTGGGCATGCTCAGGTCAGATCACAGTCAAGAGGCAGGACACGAAGGTCCACCTTTTGAAGAGTGTTGATCTCATTAAGTCAAGATGAAGCAAGAAGTTTCAAAGTCTTGAAGCTGCTAAAATTCCTGTTGTTGTTAGGCCAATGGAGATTTGGCAAAAAGAGCTCCAGATTGAGGGGGGTGGTGAGAGTCATCCATCAATTCATCCATTCTTTCATTCAGCTCCTGCAATAGCCATTCACCGAGTTATCTACCACGTGCAGTTGGGAAACCGTACTGTGTGCTGCAGAGTGCACGAAGAGGCACAGTTATAGTCAAAATGGCAACTACTGACCTTTCCAGAGGACTTCCTATGTACTCAGGACTGCAAAGAGCTTCATATTATATTATCTCATTTAATCTTCACAATACCCTTTGAGGCAAGTATACTAGTATTTCTCATTTTACAAATGAAAACCTCAGAAAGGGGCGGTCATGTGCCTTTAAGAGGTAGAATTCATGAGCAGAACTTGTATTAGTCCCTGTGAGCTGCTACAACAAAAATACCACTGGCTGGGCAGCTTGTGACCAACAAGCCTTTCTGGAAGCTCAAAGTTCAAGGTAACCAAGCCAGCACATTTGGTGCCTGGCAAGGAAGGGCTCATAGAAACGGCCTTTTCCCCATGTCCTTATGTGGTAGAAGAGGCCAGGAGCCTCACTCAGGCCTCTTTTTTTTTTTTCCTTAGGTACCAGCAATTGAACTCAGGGCACTCGACCACTGAGCCACACCCCAAGCCCTATTTTGTATTTTATTTAGAGACAGGGTCTCACTAAGTTGCTGAGTGCCTCCCGTTGCTGAGGCTGGCTTTGAACTCGCGATCCTCCTGCCTCAGCCTCCCGAGCCGCTGGGGTTATTAGGCGTGGGACGGCCTATAACCCCACTCGGCTCACTCAAGCCTCTTTTTAATGACTCTCATCCTGCTCATAAGGGTTCCACCCTCATGTCCTGTCCCTTCCCAGAGTCCCCACCTTCTCATACCATCACCTTAGTGGGTAGGATTTCCACCTAGGAATTTTTGGGGAAAACAAACATCAGGCCACAGGAGAACCCAGGTCGTCTGGTCTCAAAGCCAGTGTGCTTGTGCCACTGACTTCAGTAATCATGGTGACAACTCTTATTACCATTTTAACAGCGCATTCCTGTTACCAGGTTCTGCGGCCCAGAGAAGCTGAGTGACCTGTCCCAGGTGGTTTTGGGCAGAAGTGGGCCTCAGAGCCAGTCCCGAGGGGTTCAAGCCTGCGCTCCTCCTTTACACCAGCTTAAATCAGAGGTCTTTGTTCTGCTTCCTGCAGAAACAGAGAAGATGGGAAAGGGCCCAGGAGAACGGAGACGGGTGTGGGATGGGGGTGACTGCGGGGGTCTGGAAGCTTTTATGAGCGTGGCTCTCCCCTGGTCTGCTGAGGAATGCGCAGGAATCTCTCCGGGGGCTGCAGAGGGGATGCTGCGGAATGGCTGCTGCTTCTGATGAGGTGCTGTGTCCTGAAGCTGTCGGCCAGCTGGCCCTCCCGGAGACAGTCAGGCCCGCGGCTGCTGCCACGGGAACAGTCAGCTGCAGCTCATCCCCCCAGCGCCCCACGAGCAGCAGGCGCACAGCTAAGGCGCTGCCCACGAGCTCAGCATCCTCGTGGCCACGGGCAAGTGAATGCCACTCATTCTTCCCATTATACAGAGGAGGAGCCTGAGGCACAGAAAGAACGACCCTCTGCGCCCGCTAGCCTGCCTCACAGTGGTTATTTGTGGTTCTCAGAGTCGGTAAGCTCGAACGGTTTAAGCCCACAAATCTGAGTTAGGGTCCCAATTTTATGGATCCCAGGCAACCTTGCATTTATGGGTCCCTCCCCTCCCGGAAAGATGATAGATAGATAGATATAAAAATAAATATATTTTTATGACTATGACGGAATAAAGTTGCATCTAATTCAGACTCGAAGCATTATTATACGTTCATTATCATTATGTTTTTTTTCCTCTGATTTTAAAATAAAACAACTTTGTGACTTCCTAAAAAGTTATCATGACTCCAGGCACAGTGAGCACTGTGTCCAGTAGAGACGTTGGCCCTACCCAGGATGAGTCTTGGTTCTCCCAGTTTCTGACTGTGTGACCTTGACCAAGTCATTTCACCTCTCTGTGCCTCGCTTTCCTTCTGACAGGCACAGAGCCAAAAGCCTAGAATAGTCTGTGGGCAGGGCCTGCAATTCCATCAATTTGGGAAGCCAAGGCAGGAGGATGGCCACCTTCCCGGGTGCAGACGGCTGGGCTGGGCTCCCCAGACCTGCTGCATTGCTCCTCCAGGGCAGTGGCTGTGGGGCATCGTCCCACCTGCAGGCCTCGGGTTAGTGTCATCAGTCACAGGAGGCCCACCCACGGTGCCAGTGATGGGCTCAGGGGCGCAGGGGTGGCGGGTCTAGACCAGTGAGGGTCAACGAGACACCAGAAGACCTTGCCAGGCTCTCAGTCCTGTTGGATGCAAACCAGGAACACGTGGTTCTGGTTTCTATGGGATGTCCCCTCGCAGCCATGAAAAACCAGCCCAAGAATTAGATGACACGTGACGTAAGACTCAGAAAATCCCAGACAATGGAATCTCCAGCGTCTGGATCTCCACGCCTGTAGTCCCGCACTCTCCAACAGGGTGGCCGCTGACCACATGAGGATGCTGAGCACTTAAAACAGGGCCAAACTACCTAACAGATTTAGAGGATTTAGGATTAAAAAAAAAATACATTATACACACACACATATATACATATATATAATCAATAATTTTTAAAATATTGGCTACAGTTTCACACAATAATATTTTTAATATATTGGATTAAGTAAAATTGTTATTAACATTGATTTTACATTTTTTTTTTTTTTGCTTTTTGGTACAGGGAATTGAACGCAGGGGCACTTAACCACTGACGCACAGCCTCACCTCTTTTTTATTTATTTATTTTTTCAGTTTGAAAAATTTTATTTATTATTTATTTATTTATTTTTGATACCAGGGATTGAACCCAAGCGTGCTTAACTACTGAGCCACATCCCCAGCCTTTTTTATTTTGAGACAGGATCTCTCTAAGTTGCTTATAGCCTTGCTAATTTGCTGAAGCTGGCTTTGAAGCTGTGACCCTCCTGCCTCAGCCTCCTGAGCAGCTGGGACGACAGGCATGCACCACTATACCTGACATGAAAATTTTACTTCATTAACTTAAAAAGTGAAGAAAATATGTATTTCAAATCTTATTAAACTTATTTTTTTCTGACATATTCATTTGCATCGAGGACAAATAGAATTTCAAGTAACTTAGAGACCGTCCACTGTCCTTTTGAAAATATTCTTTCTTCCACAAAACCCCTTCATTGAAAGACAAAACAAACAAAACCTCCAAAACTACAACAACAACAACAACAACAAAAAACTTGTCTTTTATACTGTGTAAATATTAGATGCAAATTTCTTACATAGTTCATTGTCAACTCCGATGATGAAGGTGGGAGGCATAAATGTTCCCAATTTGGTCAAATGATGCAAACAAAGATCTGTTTCCGGACTGGGGCTGTGGCTCAGTGGTAGAGCGCTTGCCTAGCTCATGTGAGGCACTGGGTTCGATTCTCAGCACTGCATATAACTAAATGAAAAAAATAAAGGTCCATTAAAAAAAAAAAATGCTTATTTCCTCAGATACAAAGAAGTCCCCACCCCCGCCTCTTACAGCAGGACCACAGCATACTTGATCACTTCTTTCTTCCCCTTTTTTGACTTCCCTCTCCTTTCTGCAGACTCGGGTCACCACCTCCTGTTCACGTGCCCTTGTTTTGGGTTTAGGTATGGCCTCTCCAGCAGACAGCACCGCTGACTTACGGGTGGGAAATAAGACGGAGGCTGCCATCTTCCTACCAGAGCTAGACCCGACTGCCTCTGCATTAAACATCACAATTCCATTCTCTAGGGCACATTTTATGTTTCTCAACAAACACATTAAGATCAACCAGTGAGGATACATCTTGAATCTCTGTGGCCGTAGGATTTTCAAGAGTCTTATTTATGGGGATCCACCTTCCGTCTGTGATGGTCTTCTTATTATTTAAATAAGCAGGATAGATACAGATAAGCCTTTCCTGGTCTGCCAGGGACCTTGTGGGGCCACAAGCCATTTCCACTTGAGTCCACACAGAGACAGCCCAGGTCCCACCTGCAGAACACCCCCTTTTTTGTTTTTAAGGCAGGGTATCTCTAAGTTGCTTAGGGCCTGGCTAAGAGGCTGAGGCTGGTTTTTAAATTGAGATCCTCCTGCCTCAGCCTCCAGAGCTGCTGGGATTGCAGGCTTGGGCCACGACACCTGGCTCATCTGCTTCTTTTTACTTTCACTGATTGTTACAAGAAGATGGTGAACTGCATGTGGCTTACGTACTATTTCTAATGGAGAGTAATGCTCTAGACAGTTGTGTAAGCTGGTGTGCCTCTGATCTGCTCATTTATGGGAAAGTGTGACTTTGAGAATACTGAATTTCTGTGCCCTAAGATAGTCATGCAGCAAAAAGTTCTGTATCTAGATTAGAAGAAGAGGTGAAGAGCTGGACATCTTAATGGAAATTGTGCATGTGTGTGGTGCAATCTGCTACTGAGTTGCATGCCCAGGCCCTTTTTACTTTTTATTCTTTTAGTACTGGGTGTTGAACCCAGGGGCACTTGACCACAGAGCCACATCCCCAGCCCTTTTGTATTTTATTTAGAGACAGAGTCTCACTGAGTTGCTTTGTGCCTCACTAAGTTGCTGAAACTGGCTTTGAACTTGTGATCTTCCTGCCTCAGCCTCCCAAGCCTCTGGGATTATAGGCATGTGCCACCACGCCTGGCCAAAGATGTAGAAATTTTAACATTCACAGAAACGTAGAAAAAATACAGTGCCCACTCCTCATGTGCCCATGCCCCAGCGCTAACAGTCCTAAACTCATGTTCCATGGACATCCCCGTCCAGTGTTGCTGGTTCTCTCAAAGCAAAGCTCAGATGTCAGTCCTTCCATTCGTAATTGCCTTGGTATGTATTTCTAAGAGACAAGACCTCTCGTTTTAAAAAAGAAATGTAAACTATTGGAGAGTTGGGATACGGCTCAGTGGAAGAGCATTTGGCTAGCATGTTCAGGGGCTTTGACTTTGATCCCCAGCACCACACACACACACACACACACACACACACACCCCACTTATTTATATGTATATACATTCATATGATGTATATATGTTTATACATACAATAGCATTAACACATGAAGAAAACCTTTAATATCAGCTAATATCTAGTCAATGTTCAGATTTCCCAAATTCTTTTATAAATGAATCTTTATAGTTCATTCAAATCAAGATCCAAACAAGGCCCACGTACCACTCTTGGCTGGTCTGCCCCGTAGGCCAGTCTTCATCTACCCCATGCCCTTGTTATTTATCTGTTCAAATCATCTTGTACTGGATTGGCTAATCCACGTGATGTCTTTTAACATATTCCTTTAACCACTTTTGATCACATAACTTGATAACGAAGTATAGAAATTGATAAGATCTGGTTAGGGTCTTTTTTTTTTTTTTGACAAGAATAATGCTAGTGTGCCAGGTAAAGTGGCAAAGATCTCTAATCTCAGTGTCTCAGGAGGCTGAGGCAGGAGGATCACAAGTTCAAGGACAGCCTCTGCAACTTAACAAAACCCTGTTTTTAAAATAAAACATAAAATGGGCCAGGGATGTAGCTCAGTGATAAAGTGCTCCTGGGTTCAATCTTCAGTACTGAAAAAAAAAAAAAAAAGAAAGAAAGAAAGAAGGAAGAAAAAACTATTGGTACTGTCTGTAATGGTGAATTTATGTTAACTTGGTGGGATTCGTTTGGTTGTTTCCAGTGCTGGGAGCTTTGTGTGTGCTAGGCAAGCGCTCCACCACTGAACTATGTGCTCAGCCCTGAGCATGTTTTTAGTTGAGATCAACATTTAAATCTTTAGTAATCATACTGCTTTCCATAAATAGGGGCAGGGGCTCATCCAATCTACTGAAGGCTTGACTAGAACAAAAAGACTGACCTCCAGGAGGAAGGGGAATTCTTCTGAAGCCTGACATTGGACTGGAATATCACCGCTGGCGCTCCTGGGCCTGAGACCTGCTGGCTCACTCTCTCTCTCTCTCTCTCTCTCTCTCTGCCCCTCCATCTGTCTCTGTGTATATCCACACACGCACACATATACATATATGTATATAAATAGTCATGATATTTCACGAACAATGAGGTGTTCTGCTCAATGATGGCCACATGATACATAGGTAATGCATATATAATAGTGGCCCCATTAAGATTATAATGGAGTGGGGAGTAGTGGCACACGCCTGTAATCCCAGCAACTTGGGAGGTTGAGGCAGGAAGATCATGAGTTCAAAGCCAGCCCCAGCAACAGTGAGGTACTAAGCAACTCAGTGAGACCCTGTCTTTAAATAAAATACAAAATAGGGCTGGGGATGTGGCTCAGTGGTCGAGTGCCTCTGAGTTCAATCCCCAGTACCACCCCCCCAAAAAAAAGATTATAACGGAGCTGAAAAATTCCCACCACCTGGAGACATCATAGCATGATCCATTACCGTGTGTGTGTTGTAACAAAACCTACCACTCTCCAGCCATACAGAGCACAGCACTCGCCCTTATGTGTGGTAGCAAGCTCCATCCTAGCTGGTCAAGAAGGAGGGGCGTGTTCTCTACAAAGGCAGAAGGTGTCGCCATGGTGACAGGGCCTGCAAACAATATTCTCTCAGTTTTTCTGCATATAAAATGACCTAAGTGTTACCAGTGTTGAAACCACGCCTGGTGGCCAAGTTCCTCTTCACAATCGAGTTCTGCTTTCCGATTCTGGTAGCTGTGTCTTGGTAGTGACAGGATGGTGCCCAGGGTCCTTGACCAGGCCCTCGATTGGCCTCTCTTCACCCAGGCCTCCGAGGGTGGCAGGTCTTTTGCTCTGGCTCTCTCTGGCTGGGAAGTCCGTCACAGTGACATCTTAGCTTGTCCCCCTCTGACTATTTCCCATGGGAGGAGGGGTGAGAGTCTGATGGGCAGGTCAGGAAGGAGCTGGGCATGCTCCGCTTGGTTCCTGTGGTTTGGATGCTTTTCTACAGTCAAAAGTGTTGAGAGGTCATTGTCAATGTAAGAGCTTTTAGAGATGCTGCAGCCTTTGAGCGGTGTTTGGGCCTTGGGAGCTCTGCCTCGGGAAGGGATTCACGCAGCTCCTGTGAGATTCAGTTTGTTATGGTGAGAACAGCTATTCTCTTTTCATATTTTATTGGTTTATTATCGTTATACATAACGGTGGGATTCACTGTTACACAGTCCTACATGCACGCACTATAACTCTATAATTTGACTAGTAGCATTCTCCAGTATTTCCCTGTTTGAGTCAGCTTCTTCATTGCTGTGACCAAAAGACCGGACAAAAACAGTCAGTAGAGGAACAGTTTATTTGGGGGCAAATGGTTTTAGAGGTCTCGGTCCATAAACGGTTGGCTACATTGCTCTGGGCCCACGGTGAGGCAGACCATGATGGAGGAAGAGTATGGCTGAGGAAAGCCACTCAGGAGGAGGCACCAGGAAGCAGAGAGCACCACTCACCAAGAACAGAATATATATCCCAAAAAGCACGCCCCCAGGGACCCACCTCCTCCAGCCACAGCTCACCTGCCTACAGTTACACGCAGTTAATCCCCTGGGGGGATGAATGCACTGATTAGTTAAGGCTCTCATAACCCAATTATTCACCTCTACACTTCCTTGCATTGTCTCACACGTGAATTTTTTGGAAGACATCTCACAAAACACCTCTCCTCCTGCCTCCCCTTGGTCTCTTTCTTCTACTCCTCTCCCTTTAATTTTCATGAGATTCTTCTCAAGTTTTCTTTTCCTTTTTCATCTCTATCTACTTATGAGAGAAAACAAAAGACCTTTTATTTTCTGAGTTTGGCTAATTTCGTTTAACACAACAATCTCTAGTTCCATCCATTTTCCTGCAAATAACCTAATGTTATGGCTGAATAAAACTCAGGGTGTATATCTTAATCCATTCATCCACGGATAGATCCTAGACTGGTTCCATACTTTGGCTATTGTGCATTGGGTATGCATGTTTTACTATAGTATTCTGACTTCAGTCCTTTAGGAGAAATACCAAGGAGTGGGATAGCTAGATCATATGGCGGTTCCCTGCCTCGTCTTTTGAAGAACCTCCATACTGACTTCCATAGTGATTGTACTAATTTACAATCCCACCAACAGTGTAGAAGTGTTCTTTTATCCCCACATCCTCTCCCGCATTTATTATTGTGTTCTTGACGGCTGCCATTCTAACTGGAGTGAGATGGAATCTCAGTGTGGTTTTGATTTGCACTTCCTTAATTAGAGAGTGGGCTATTATACCCTTGTACCCTCCTCTCTCTTGCATGTGCCCCCTGTGCTCCCAATTTCTACCATGAGCTGAACAACAATGAAGTCCTTGCCAGAAGCTTGGCAAAAGCTGGTGCCATGCTCTTGGACTTCAAGAACTGTGAGTCAAGATAAACCTCTTTCATTTGTAAATTACCC